AGGCGACAACGCTCTCTTGAAGAACTACAGACCGATTTCCCTTCTGAGCCGCATCTACGTGCTGTTTTCGAGAATCATTACGAATCGTCTCGCACGCAGACTCGACGACTTCCAGCCTCCCGAACAAGCCGGTTTCCGAAAAGGCTTCAGTACCATAGACCACATACATACCCTGCGGCAGATTGTACAGAAGACTTAAGAGTACAATTTGCCACTTTGCCTGGCGTATGTGGACTATGAGAAAGCCTTTGATTCCGTTGAAATTTGGGCGGTGCTGCAGTCCCTTCAGAGGTGCCAAGTTGACTGTCGGTATATCGAAGTGCTGAAGTGTTTATACAGTAGGGCTACGATGGCTATCCGAGTACGAACCAGAGCTCGAAACCTATCCAACTGCAGAGAGGTGTAAGACAGGGTGACGTTATATCCCCGAAATTCTTCACCGCTGCTTTGGAAGACGTTTTCAAGCTACTGGACTGGAAAGGATACGGTATTAACATCAATGGCGAGTACATCACTCACCTTCGATTTGCCGACGATATAGTCCTTATGGCAGAATCGCTGGAGGACTTAAGCACTATGCTCAATGACCTCAATAGTGCCTCCCAACGGATAGGTCTTAAGATGAACATGGACAAAACAAAGATCATGTTTAATATCCATGTCACACCTATGCCGGTAGTTGTTGGGAGCACTATGCTCGAAGTTGTTGACGAGTACGTTTACCTGGGAAAATTGTCCGACTAGGTAAGTCCAACTTCGACCGAGAGGTCAATCGACGGATTCAACTCGGCTGGGCAGCGTTCGGGAAATTACGACACATCTTCTCGTCAGGTATACCTCAATCTCTGAAAACTAAAGTGTATAAACAGTGCGTGTTGCCAGTGATGACTTACGGATCAGAGACGTGGTCCTTCACTGCTGGCCGTATGAGGACGCTCAAGGTCGCACAGCGAGCTATGGAGAGGGCTGTGCTCGGAGTTTCTCTGCGTGATAGACTCAAAAATGAGGATATCCGCAGTAAAACCAGAGTGACCGACATAGCCCAACGGATTAGTAAGCTGAAGTGGCAATGGGCCGGCCATATAGCTCGAAGAACCGATAACCGATGGGGAAGAAAGGTTCTCGAGTGGCAGCCTCGTACCGGTAGGCGTAGTGTAGGGCGACACCCCACTAGATGGAGTGACGACCTGGTAAGATATGCAGGAAGTCGATGGATGCAGGTGGCTCAGGACCGTGCTTTATGGCATTACTTGGGGGAGGCCTATGTTCAGCAGTGGACTTGTGAAGGGCTGTGATGATGATGATGATGATGACACTAATTAAAGTTAACACTTATATTAGTACTTATATAGTAAACACTAATAATTAATCACACTGATTCACTTTATTCCGCTCCGCAGCTTCGCTTGTCTCGCCAACTTCAATACTTCCCCGATCGCATCTTGCAGCGCCTATTTATATAAATTAGCACCGAAATATCCAGAATATTCAAGTAAACACGCGCAAGGTACCGAGAGTTCGAGTTTCAACTTCAAGAAGTTTAGTTCTTCGGTTCGACACTAGATGGCGCTAGTGCCGTCGACTTTGGCGCGTAACTGTAGTATTTATTGATATATCAATTTAATAATAATATGTAAATTGTAAAAGAAAAAAAAAGAAGAAAAATATCATTGCCATATACTTCTAAGCTGTTCACCTATTACACCATATTGCTTTTCAGACGGTAAAAAAATCATCCAGTATAAAAATCAGGAAAATTTTTAACATTTTTAATAGTATTTTGAATACATACTTAATAATACTTTTTATAAAATTCTACGTACCGAACACGAGAAGAGCTGAGATACTCATGTCTGCTGATTGTGAATTAGAGATCACTCGAAAATCTGTTATAGTTAAAAATTTTGATAAAAATATTAGTATTTTTGATGCTTTATCAATTACAACTCATTGTAGCGTTTTAAAATTAAACATTGACTCACGCCTTACCTTATGTAAATTATCAAATCCGTAGCCAGACGCTTATTTTACGAACCTACGATTTACATACTTAATCTTTGTTTTCATTCCGAATTAGATGCAGAAACGATTACCTATTAAAGAAAACGGTGTCCCATTAGGCAGTGCCTAGGGTCCGACTATATTTCTGCTTTATAACAATGAAGTATTTTATTCATTGAAATATTTAGATAGTCACAACTTTTTTGACTGACTCGTTAGTTTAGTAGTCATAAGGGCGATTGGTGATTATGTGGAGGTAGGAGGCACGAAATCAAAAAGTTGACTGTGGGTGAACCTGTGTCTCGTAAAGCTCGTAAAGCTCCTCTGTCGTTCCGCCTCCAGATCCTTCAAAAGTGTCATTGCCAAGGTAAAGTCAGAGCACATCGGCAGAATTGGCGAGAAATTAGTTCAACGAACACGTGCTTTCTGGCTTCTCGTCAAGGCTGTCCAAGGCAACTTCTGTCAACTATCTCTTCGATCTCTGCACAGGGAGAACGAGACACTAGCGCATGCCCCAAAGAACAATGCAGATATGCTGGGCTCTCTCTTTGCGTCGAACTTGACTTTTGATGACGGGGGGAACAGACCGCCGACCATCCCGCAGTGCTCCATGCAGGATATACTGTTTACCCAGCACTTGGTCCACAGAATACTCGTCTCCCCGGACGTCAAAAAGTCGAGTTGGCCTGATGGCGTCTCTTATGCTCCGGTGTGCTCCGGAGTTGGCACTGGTTTTGACCCGTCTTTTCCAGTACTCCTACTCCCAAAGTGTCGTTTCGAACACATAGATGACAGCTTTAGTGCACCCGATCCCTAAAAAAGGCGACCGCTCAGATCCGTTCAACTACAGGTTTATCGCTATCACTTCGTTCTCAAAAATAATGGAAACTTTTATTAACTGCCAGCTCATGAGGTACCTTGAGGATCGCATAGCGAAGGCCTTCGATCGGGTTAGGCACAAAGCGCTTCTTACGAAGCTTCCTTCCTATGGGCTTCCCGAGAAATTGTGCAATTGAATCACCAGTTTTCTTGCAGATTGGAGCATCAAGGTCATAGATGGTGTATGCTCGGATTACAAGCTCATTAATGTTAGTATTCTACAAGGCTGCGTGCTATCACCAAAGTTGTTTTTTCTGCAAATCAATGATACGTTGCAAACCGATAACATTCATTGCTATGCGGACGACCGAACTGATGATGCTTTATACACCGGCCGTGTCACTATTTTTCTTTTGAACGTCGCCAAGTACCAGAACAAACTTGCATCTGAAGTCGAAACTTTGTTGAATAAAGTCTCGGACTGGGGGCGACTAAATCTAGTCTAGTTAAATTCCCAAGACACATGTTTAAGCGTTTTCCGCTAAAAACAACACTCCCCTTGTTGCCTCAGCCTGTATGGGGATCCTCGGCGTTGACATATCGACTGACGTGAAGTTTTGTGGTCACTTGGAAGAGAAGGCCAAATTGGCCTCTAAAAAGCTTGGCGTGCTCAGCAGAGCGGGACAGTATTTCATGCCGGCAACTTTACAAGGTGCAGGTTCGGCCGTTCATGGAATACTGGTCCCATCTCTGTGCTGAGACACCCCAGTGCCAACTCCTTCTATTTGATCACATCCAGCGCGGAGCAGTTCGAATCGTCGGCGACCGTGCTCTTTCCGATTGGCTTGACTCACCGGCACTGCGAAGAGATGTCGCATCTCTTTGCGTATTTTTTCGCATTTACCGCGGGAAGTGCTCTAAGGAATTCTTTGTACTAATTGCAGCCGCATAATTTCACCATCGCATATCGCGATACCATTCATACCATCTGGATGACTGGTGGTCCACCACTGTGCCATCTATCGACCATCTCAACCACACAACCACAACACGTGGGCGGGCGCATTTTGCATTGGAAATTAATAGTAAAATTCACATATACCACATTTTGCCGTCATTACCGACTGAGTGATACCGACCAATGCAACCACGACGCCACCACTACGGAACCACACGGAACTAGCGGCCGCTACTGGCGACAACGCATCCACATCGACATTTTGTGGCATAACCCCAACGCAACTGCAAAAAGCTGCAGCGACACTATTCACACGTGACCACATTCTTTCACTGCGATGTGGTGTGGTTGTGGTACGTGCGGGTATATCCATAGGTGAATTCTCTCTAAAGCGGTAAAGGGCCAGCAGTGGATTTTCAAGAACTTACGAAGAAGATGAACATTTATTATTATCATTATTTATAGACTGACTGATACTACAACAGTCAGTCCAACTATGAAGCGTTTTGTTGAAGACAAATCCTTCTTGGGAAAGTTCAACTGTCAACTGTGACTAGCTTACCATGGTAGTGATACAATAAATTTTTTATCTCTTACGTCCAAATGTTAGTCACCAAGGATAGATTTAAATTTTTTATAGATTAAGGTGACAAACGAGCACACAGTCCACCTGATGGTAAGTGGATGCTGTAAGCCATAGACATGCACACTTAACCTTGATTAAGAATCAAAATTCAGATGCGTTGTCACCACTGAGGACTAAGATGACATGCTTCATTTTCAGTAAAAGGAGTCTCCGGTTCTTTACACTCACCATACGAAACACAGCAGCATTAAGTTGCTATTTTATGCTGGTATTCTGTGAGAGCGGTGTCCTACCCCGAATAAGCCGACTCATTCATGCTACAACCATGATAATATAGCTGTAGCGTGGCTCTACCACGTATCACAAATGAAAATTAAGTTAAATTTTAACATGTATTTCAAATAAATAACATTTTTAATTTTGCAAAACATGTCGTATTTGTTATCGTTAAAAAAATACGCGCTTCGTGTTATTCATTTAAAATATTTAAAATTTAAAAGTCAACAAATCTGCTGCAAATCTAAAAAAAAATATCACAGCCAACTCACCATGCATAACTATAACAATAACCATGTGATAAGATTTTGCTATAAAAATGTAGAAGACCTGAGTATTCAGACAATTTCCGCTGAAGCGATGGAGCGACAGACGGCACTCGTCACTTTAGGTGCGTTTTTAAAATGATTGAACACTTAAGTGTTCAATCATTTAAAATTTAAACATTATTACAAATTAACATTTAAAATCATTTAAATTACTATACCAGTAGTTTTAAAACTACTGGTATAGTAATTTAATCTTCATTAAATACTAAGTTCCCTGTCTTATTTAACCGATTACAAAAAAAGAAGATGTGCATAATTCGACTGTATTTTTAATATGTTACCTCAGAACTTTTTTCAAGGTGAACCGATTTGGATGATTTTTTGAAAGCTTTATTTGAAAGCTGGTGCTTTTCGTGTGGTACCATATAAATTTGATCAAGATCTGACCAGTAGTTTTTGAGTTATCCTTAATAATGCGTATTTAATTGACATCGACTACACGGATGATGTTTTGATTTTATTTATATAGAAGTTGATTGTACAACATTTTTAACTTTACTACTTGTTATATCAAAAAAATTGGAATTTTTAATTTAATTTACAGTATTAGTAGCATCAACGGCTGCGGCACCATCACCGTGGCAGTTGGGAGGCTTTTTGCGAAGTCCTTTAACATTACCACCCTATCTTGCACAAAATCCCGGATCGTACTTATCATTTGGTTCTGAGCCATGCTACAGTCCAGAACCTAGCCTAGAACCTTGTATTCCACCATACCCTGAACCATGCATCCCACCTTATCTAGAAAAACCACCCGGGCCCTTACCACGGCCGTCGCAACTTGACCGTACTTTGCCAACACCAAGTAAGTATCAAAGTCATAGTAGATAACTGTTCTTCAAGAGTTGGATTAATAAATAAATATTTTTGCAGCTCCTGGTGGCAATGGACCTATTGGAGTCGTGATATCGAAATCAAACATTCCTGAAAGATTACGCTTAGCAGGTTTCCAAGTTGTACAAGTACCAGGTGGACTATTTTATATTACACAATCACGTCCAGTACTCATTCAGTCATCTCCCATTTTAGTTAGACCAGCTCCACTTCGTCCGATCACTCCTGCCGCTATTACTGTGCAACCCCCACAGCAACCCCCGATAGTGCCCCCACGTATAGTTGTAAGGCCCGCACCCTTGCCACCTATAACACTTCCTCCTATCCGCGTACGTCTACCCCGGCCTGATCCAATTCAACCGAAACCTGTTGTTGTGAGGCCATCGAAACCAGCACCAATTCAACCACCACCAATCACTGTAACGCAGTCACGGCCTGCACCAATAAATCCACCTCCAATTTTCATCCGACAACCTACACCGTCGACAGTCCAACCGCCAACAATATGCATTCCTACATCAGCTCTTTTCAAAGGCGAAACTGGCATACGGTATCCAGGTGTACCCGAACCTTGCATACAGTATCCAAGTGTACCTGAACCTTGCTCTGTGCCGTGTCCAGGTCCATGTTCATGTCCATACTGTTCTAGCCCGTGCCCTTAAGATACCTGCGTCTTAAAATAAAATTTTGCGTGCATACTTACAAATTATGCCCAGAAAATATATGTCTAGATGATCACAATCTTATCACACAAGGTGTTCTAAAAATGACCAATGTGTTTTTACCACCTAATTTATATCTCAAGTCACCTTATATTTGAAGGCATAATTTGTAATACATCTTTATCGAAAAATCTCTTACTAATTTACTTGGACCACGGCAAATTTCAAATTTTATTTAATGTTTCTTATTATTTTAACATTGCATTGTATAAGAATACTCGTACAAGATTTTAATTGTGAAAAACTGTTTGTAAATGATAGCTTATTTTAAGTTTTAAATTAATGTTATCATACATATATAAAATACGGTTATTTTTTGTGTGTATGTGTTTATTAAAAGTTTTCATCACTAAATATTGGTGTATTTATTCTTTTCCCGAATGCCTGACTTTAATAACTGATTTTACGAAGTGACATTAAGATAATTTTGATAAATATAATAATAACCCTGCCTCTATGTTATATAATAATTAAGCATGTAATGGAGAATTTGGTACAATTCTTAGAGGATAATTACAACAATTTCTAGGAACCATAACTTATCTACCACGTATAAAAACTGTTTACTCCGCCCTAATGCATCCAATATTAGCTCCAGGAAGTTCAAAATATGACTTTGTGATATTATCTTAAATTTCATAAAGTAAGCTTTTCCTTTAATTATGTTCCCATAAATTAAGAATTTACTTTATTAACTTTACTTTTACTTTAAAAATTACAGAAACGCTTTTTGTCGTAAGACTACGACGTAGCAAGACTCTACAGCGTAGTTTAATGAATTATTACGGAGATCCTATTAAGTGCAAACGAGGTATTCCATCTTAGAATCTGAATTTTAATTCCTAAATTCGTTGAAGAAAAATATAGATGTCTATGGGCCAAAGAATCGACTTACCATCAGATGCACTTAGTGGTCGTTTGTTATCCTCATTCTATAAAACAAATCGACTAGGTTTTCCCCGCGTGATATAACCGAAATACAAAATAACCAAAATACCGAATCGGTTTTTATCGTTTTCAGTCAATTGTATAATAAAAATAAAGAGTAAAAAGTAAAGTTGTAAATGTTTTATTTTGACAACACCTTATATCAAAAAAAAGGTAATTGCCGTACGTCGTAATAGTGAAAATCTATTTTTAATACAATTGCTCAAAAAGTGACGTATTGCAAAGACCTATAGCGTTCGGGATGTGGACTGTTACATACTCGAGCTTTTTCTTTACGTAACACGTGCGTTATCTTTCCCAACTGTCAAAATAATGTCTAATAAAAAGAAAAAACCAACCACGAAATTTTTACTAAAAAAAATTCATAGAAGTTTTTATGATTCATGCAAATATTTTTAAAAAGAAACTATTAATTTGTTTCAATATCAGATTTAATTATTTTATTCAATGAGTTAGGGAAGAAAACCGGCGACGAGGTTCGCCACCCGTCACGTGCTGTCTCCCGGAGGGGCGAAAAGTGGATTGCAGAGGCCCGTCTGGCTACGTTGAATGTATGTGGAGCAATGAATGATAAAATAGATGAAGTATGCGATATGTTGTATGATAGAGGAATAGATGTGTTATGTGTAAATGAGACGAAAAGGAAGGGGAAGGATGTCACTACACATGGCATGTATACCGCATACTGGTCTGGTGTAGACGAGATCGAGCGGGCATGCCAGGGAGTAGGTATCATCCTTTCAGAAAGAATGGGCCAATGTGTGAAAGAGTATGAATGTGTAAGCCCAAGACTGCTATGGATACGAATGAAAGTGGGCTTAAAGAAGTTGTTTGTGCTAGGGGTCTACGCCCCAGACATGTCTAAGCCCATTTATATCCGAGAGCAGTTTTGGGAAATGGTAAGGATGGTGTTAATGAATTGTAAGGAAAATGTAAATATTATTATGCTAGGAGATTTTAATGGAAGGGTTGGGGTGAGGAGGCTTGGTTATGAAAGGATGGGAACGTTTGGTGATGAAAGCATAAACGAAAATGGTGAAAGCCTCCTCACCGTATGTATGGAAAAGACTCTTTTTGTGACGAACACTTGCTTTCGCCACAAGAGGATTCACATGTATACTTGGGAAAGAGGTGATGATAGAAGCATGATAGATTTTATAATTGTGGATGAAAGAATGAGGGGCGCAGTGGTAGATACAAGGGTCTACCGGGGGTCTAACGTAGGAACGGATCATTATTTGAACTATTCAGGCGTTGGCGCCATCGGTCATCTATGTCTACCACTGCGTTACAGCGTATTAGAACAGAAAGACTACAAGAGGAAGGCGAGAAAAACAAGTTCAAACGTAGACTGAAAGAAAATATAAGTGGTTTGGATGAATTATGTATGAATGAGTTAGACTTGGAGAATGTATGGCAAAATGTTAAGAAAGGTTTAGTGGATGCAGCTACCGAAGTATGTGGTGTTAGTAAGAGAAAGAATGAAAGGAAAAATAATACGTTATGGTGGGATGATGAGATACGTATGGAAGTTGAAGCAAAGAAGAGAGCATGGCTAGATTTACTAGCAACAAAGGCTGGTAATTCTAGCGGTATGAATGATGATATTGAAAGAAAAAAGGCAGTCTTTAGACATCTAAATAAGAGAGTAAAAGAAGTAATTGAAAGGAAAAAGCAAGAAAGAACGGATAAGAATGATAGAAGAATATCGGATAATTTGCAGGCGAATATTAAAATGTTCTGGAAACTCGTAAGAACTGCCAGGGGACATTCAAAACAGCCTATAATAAATGCTATAAGAGACGAGAATGGATTTATTCTGAATGATGAAGTTTTGAGTTTAAAGAGATGAAAGGAATATTTTGAAAGCGTGTTTAAGAGTGAGGAGACAACGTATAAATTAAATAGAGTAGAAACTCCGAAAGAAGAGGAAAGAGGTAGCGAGATAAGTATAGATCAAATAATGAAAGCAATGAAAAGCATGAAAGCAGGTAAGGCTGCCGGATATGATAGAGTTTCACTCTAAATGCTAAGGGCTGGTGAGGAAGTGGTGGCAGGCCTGCTGCACACCTTGTTTGATTTCAAGTTATTCTTGCGGCATCGGCGGCCGAGTTGCAAATGATGGTTACATTAATGAACAGATCATTAAAAGAAAGGGGTATGAAAGTGAACGCAAGTAAGACGAAAGTTATGGTTTTTGAAAGAGAAGAAAGCAAAACGGTATGTGAAATAAGAATAGAAGGAGAGTTAATTGAGCAAGTGGATGAGTTCGTATATTTGGGATGTGTATTCAGCAGGGATGGGAGAAATATGATAAGGATATTGAATGACGAGTGAATGCAGGAAATAAAGTAAATGGGGCTCAACACTCTATTGTGAAAAGTCAGAATGTGTCAAAAAAGGCACGTATGGCAATTCACAGTGCTGTATTAGTCCCTACTTTAACGTATGGTAGTGAAAGTTGGGTGTGGCAGAAGAAGTACGAGAGTAGAATGAACGCAGTAGAAATGCGGTCGTTAAGGAATATGGTAGGGCTGAATCTGAACGACAGGGTGAGAAATTGTGTGATAAGAGAAGAGAAGAGTGTTGTTTGCAAGATGATGTTGTGACCAGGATTAAGAAAGAAATGCTTCGGTGGTTTGGTCATGTGGAAAGAATGAATGAGGAAAGAATGACAAAGAAAATTTATGTTGCAGAAGTGAATAGCAGAGTCGGAAAGGGACGTCCTAGGCGAAAATTTATCGACCAAATTGGCGATTTATTGAAAACGGCCAAATTAGGAGCAGCCTTAACCGACGAGCATGTATGCGTAGGTATATGGATGTGAAGGAGGCGAGAGAGGTGTGTCAGGATCGTGCCAAATGGAAGGGCGTGGGTGGTTATGTATATATTACGTATTCAATGAGTTAGGTAGGGTTTCATTTCATTTCATCTCATTAAATTTCATTTTAATTTCATATCAATAAAAAAATTCTACTCAAGACTTGGCTGTATGGGCATAGTTCCCTTTGCCTACCCGGAATGGGTGAAGAAAACAAAAAATCTCTGTTTCTTTTACGGTTGGCGCCATTTTCCAAAAATTTTCTTTGCGAGTTTAGTTGTTTGTTGCGCAAAATGAGTAATTTCGACGATATTTTATTTGAATTAATACCACCGGAACTTAGTATAACTGCACAAAATGCTTCGGAGAACATTTTACCGGAAAAGTCAAAAAGTCGCTACGTACCTACATGCGACGAATTTATTGCTTGGAGAGAAGAGAAAAAAGCAAATAGTTTTTCAGAAAATGTTATGTTGGCATACTTCTCCGAACTCTCAGCAAAATTAAAACTTTCTACGTTATGGTCGAGGTTTTCGATGATAAAAAAAAGACGTGTGGCACTCGGGGACTGCCGCGGTAAATCTATTGCATAGCATTTTGTATCAACTTATGCAATTATAATTATTTATTTATTTTATTTATGCAGTATTTCTTTTTCTTTGATATTAATTCAATTTACTTAGGTTAATCCAATCAAATTCAACCAGATTTAACCGAACCCGCGTTATAACGAACTCACTATTTGTGAAAAATACTGTATCACCGGACCGCGTCGCAAAAAACTCAGGTTCGCGCAGTACATACGTCAGGACGGCCGTACGGCAATTACATTAACAAGACGCGCAACTACTCAGTTCCACGCTCCACGGCAAGATTTGTCACTTATTATTTATTGTCCAATTAATTGTCTTTAAGTTCAAATGGCACGCTCTATTAACATAAGTCTAAGACAAAACAAGGAGACTTTCAATATATGAACAACTATATTTTTCTAACTGTTGTTTTAAACTGTTATAATATATTATAACAGTTTTAAATATTACATTGTACACGCGGTTAGTTCAGTTCAGTCGTCGGCTGTGTTCGCGTTTTGTTTAACGAAAAATAAACAAAAACAACAATAGCTTTTTCACGTAATATGGGGACCTGCTATCAAAACATTACGTATATAATTTAACAGATAACAGTGTCATTGTCATCTCAGCTAGACAGCTAACTGAACACTAAACTGTTATAACATATATTATATATTACAACAGCCAAATTAAATAACAGGCACAACAGGCAACTAATGGAGGAAATAATATATTTTTGTTTACCGTTATAATTAGTGTTAGTAAAATAAGCTCTTATTAAGTTAGCTTAGAGTTTAAATTAGTGTAAGCTATACGCAATCCTTGTGGCATAATGAATGTAGGTAGTATTTTATTGACTCCCACTGTCTCGGCCCACGCGACAGTTGGACCGTAAACGTAAACAGATGACGCTTTCTAACGATAATAAATATAATATTATAACAGTCAATGGTTCATTATTCTAATGTGTTGTAAGATTAAAAATATATAATGAAATATATTATCTGTTGTATGTTATAACGCCCAACTTTAGGGGTGACCGACCGCGCGCACAAATGCAGCTAGCCTCCCCCTCCCGCACCTCACTAATCGTCGCTTCACACCGCTTGAGATAAGACGATCTACAATCAGGCGCTAACAAACCCCGTACCGGACATAAGAACCTATGTCCGCGAGTAAATTGGCAATTAGAAGACGCTTTGTATTGTTGGTTTTTACAAAAACGATCAACTGGGCAAATGATATCTGGCCCTTTGCTTTATGAAAAAGCATTACAGTTAAATAAAAAATTAGGTGACGGCGGCTCATTTGTCGCAAGTAACGGATGGTTATATAGATTTATATCTCTTCATGGAATTTAATCAATGTTTATTAAAAAATAATAATTTCTTAATAAACATTGATTTTCGTTGAAATTGTGTTTTTAATAAACACATAACATTATGTATGTACATATGTACTACAAATGCACAAAACCCGCTTTTCTTCATACATTCGATTATCCGGATTTTCGATTATCCGAATCCCTAACGGCAACAATTAGTCCGGTTAATCGAGTATATATATACATATTGAGAATCTAAATTGAGAATTTAAACTATACGCGTGTGTGTGTTTGTGTGTATATAAAGAGGGCTACTTTTAATATCGCTCATTTTAATATCAAAAATTTAGGTTATCTTTATAGCAGTATTATATTTTCAATTCAAAATTAGTACTGCATTTGTGATAATAATAAAATGTAGGTATATATATAGAGTACTCACTCACTTTCTTTCACTATTTTTTCGTGACTTTCTTCATTAATAATAAATGCACTTTGTTCATTCATATTCAAAAATTTCAAAACACTTTATACACAAACACCGTGTCGAAGACTGAGGAAAAGAAACGACGTTAGACCATCGTTAGACAGTGCACGGCCTTCAAGCCACACCTCCGTGCCCGTCGGAGAGCGTGAGGTTTTTTTCGTTACGAAATTTCTGGATTTTCACGCACTCAAGGCCCGCGATAGAAGCTATGCAATAGCAAAAATAGGAAAAATATATGAATATCCAAGTTAGTGACTATTTTTATATATATCCTTTTTCGCAACGGTATTAAAAATAGTTATTCAGTACTCGTGTGGAACCGTCATTGCAACTTGTTCTGACTGCCAACCCTCACTTTCAGCTGCGCCTCGGCTCGGGTAGACATTTGTCGGAACTCTTTGCAATGACAGGCTTTCCGCACTTGTAATGAAATATGCTATACATTTCTAGTCGAACATTTTCATAACGTGAATTATTAATAAAAATGTCTGTCATTACATCTCCAATTGAGAAGATACACTTGATAAAAGTGTTTTCATTTTTACACTTGATGAAAGTGTTTTCACTTTTTCACTTTTACAGGCAGAACAAATCAAATAGAAGGTTATCCTAACCGATAGGATAACCTTCTATTTGATTTGCTGTTCTTCGAGCTATATTGGCAACCCATTGCCACTTCAGCTAACTGATCCGTTGCGCTATGTCGGTTACTCTAGTTCTAATGCGAATACCCTTATTTCTAAGTCTTTAACACAGAGTAACTTCTAGCATAGCCCTCTTCCTAGCTCGCTGAGCGATCTTGAGCTTCCTCTTACGTATGTGTATATACTTAAATCTATAATATAAATTTCACGGTTCAGTAGCACGATGCTTAAGTTTTGGGCTACATCGCTGCGTGAATAAGTGTTTATGATATAGCATACAAATAATTATTTCTTATATTTACGCGAACACTACACATTTAATTAATACTAATTTTTAGGGATTTTATCGCGTACCATGGATGCTGTAAAGTGCTCGAAACGTAGGGTACATAAAAAAGTTAATATACGCGATCAAATCCGTAAAAATTGATATTATTTAAATGTAAATAATTGCTCTATGTTTGGATGTTGGTCCGTATACAGTTCTTGTACCAAAGCCGTCACAACGATACAGAAGAAAATCATTGTATGGAGGTAACTTTTTTAAATGTAATTAAAAAGTATGTTAGGGATGTATCTGAGTGACATCGTGAGAAATCGTGTGATGAAAGAAGAGTGTGGTTTGTAAGATGATGCCATGACCAGAATTAAGAAAGAAATGTTTCGGTGGTTTGGTCATGTAAAAACAATGAATGAGGGATATTTTATATGTGGTAGAGCTATGCTGCAGTTATATTAGTAGTATAGTTGTAGCACGAATGGGTCGGCTCGACTGGGGAAGGGCCACGTTCTCACAGAATACCAGCGTAAAACAGTAACTTAATGCTGCTGTGTTTCGTATAGTGAATGTAGAGAATCGGAGACCCTTTTTACTGGAAACGAAGCGTTCCACCTTAGTCCTCAGGGGTGACAACGTATCTGCATTTTGAATCCTTGAAGGATAGATGTAGATGTCTATCGGCCACAGCAAACACTTACCATCAGGTGGAATGTGAGCTCGTTTGTCACCCTATATTGTAAAAAAAAACGAAAGAGTGACAAATGGTGCAGAAGTGAATGGCAGAGTTGGGAAGGGACGTAGGACGTAGGTGAAAGTTTATCGACCAAATTGGCGATATATTGAAAGTGGGCTAAATTAAGAGTACCCATATCCGATGAGCATATATGCGTAGGTATAATAATAATGTCCTCCAGACCTAATTTCGGTGACGGCGGCCTGCCTCAACGGAGACTATCCATCGGCGCAGGACAGGATATAGTTCCCAAGTGTGTATGCAAGCACAGGTGTACTCTCTATTCCCTCACTCTCATAATCCGATGGGACGGTAAACCGACACGACCGGAGAGAGATCAGGCGCAGGACCAACGGTTTTATGTGCTTTACGAGGCACGGGGGTGAGAGACCGCCAACTTCCTGACTTCGGGTAGCTACTGAGAATTTCTTGACGGAAAAACTCAATAATTTATTTTTTGGCCTGACCCGGGATTCGAACCCAGTACCACATGGTCAGCAGTCGCACTAATACAACCAATAGACCAACGAGGCAGTAGGTATATGAATGTGGAGAAGGCGAGAGAGGTATGTCAGGATCGTGCCAAATGAAGTCTGTAGTCTCTGCCTACCCCTCTGGGTGACAGGCGTGACTGTTTATTAAAAAGTGCAGATTTAGTGAATAACCAATAAAACACGCCAAGTTATTACAGAAACAATGATTTAATTTTTACTAAGCCAATATCATATAAAAATTAATACATTAAAATTTTAAATAATTTTTGATAAACAATAACATGTGAAGGAGAATAAATTTTTGGGAAGAAATTTATAAACTGCGATGTTGTTTATTATCGTTTTTATTTCAATAATCTAAAATTAAATAAGTAACATGGCGAAATGAATGATGCCATCACGGTGCAGCGGATTGTTATTAGCAAGGTGACGGAGTATAACACGGTGGGCTTGGTTCGAAACAAGGTTCAGGGCATGGTGGACAAGGTTCAGGGCACGGTGGACAAGGTTCAGGACATGGAGAACAAGGTTCGGGGCAAGGTGGACAAGGTTCGGGGCACGGTGGACATGCTGGTGTGTACACAAGTGCAGGTTTGACGCAAGGTGGGACTAGCCGCGGAATACATATTGATGGTGGAGCGATGCAGGGCTCTCCTTGCTTTCCAATGCATACGGTGGCTCCACTTGCGGTACGGTAGCATCGCCACGGTGCCGCTGATGCATAACCGAGGAGAGCTGAAATTCAATAAATTAGAAAGTTGTTAGCTTTCTTTTGACACAAAATATCGAAGTAATATCTAAATATATTTCATAAGGATATGGTTTTGTAGATCTTTATCTGATCTTGACTTTTATGAACTGATGTTTTATCTCATGCTAATATATACATATATATTACGAACCGATGACAATACAATAAGTTACAAAACTATGACAATGTTGTGTGTTGTTTCACTTCTATGTAATTGAATTTTTATTATTATACACAGGTGGGGTTAGAGTATCAATCACCAATTTTTAACTTTGTAGTGCCATTCTGCAGCTATACTAGTAGTATAATGTAGCACGAATGAGTCGGCTCGAGCGGGGTAGAACCACGCTCTCACAGAATACCAGCGTAAAATAGCAGCTTAATGCTGCTGTGTTTCGTTTGGTGAGTGTAGAGAACCGGAGACCATTTTAGTGGAAAGGAGGACTCACGGGTGACAACACATCTGCATTTGGATTCGTAGTCGAGGATAGATGTAGATGTCTATGGACCACAGCAACCATTTGCCATCAAATGGACTGTGTGCTTCCTTGACCCTTTTTTTTGCTCTTTCGTCAAAATTTTCCTTCCAGAGATCAAAATAATATTTTTTTTCAATAATGGTATATAATTTTGAACTGAAGGGATCAAGTTGCAGCCAAGCAGCAATTTATGATCAGTCATACATTGCTGCTTGGCCGCAGAAGTATGTGACAGGATGGTATCTGTCCAGACGGACTTCTAGACATTAAAAGAGTCCTACCACATAACTATAATTAATTGTCTATTAAAACAATTAGATTGCATTGCTTACCAAATATAAAGAGCGTCGAGAACCCCATGCCCACCGACTGTTACTTTACCGTTTCTTACTGTCTTTTTATAGACGTTCTTTGATAAAAATGTTGATATTCGTTTGATGCTCCATCATCCGTAACCTAACACTGGACAAGGTCAGACTTTGTTTTATAATTCGCTAAACAAAACTTAATTAAGAACCGTAGTAGCTCAGGAGCGAAGCGTACGCTGTAAATTTTACAGTACACTAGCAATACGGGTTCGATCCCCGCTGGCACTGGCTTGTTAATTGCAACTTTAGGTGCTGATTTGAATGAAAAGATCGTGAGAAAATTTGCGTGTCTGAGAAAGAAGAAAAATAAATATATCGAAGACACGTGAAGTTCGCCAACACGCATTGGGTAGCACCGTGGATATTTCCGTGCTCTAAAACTCTCTCAGAAATGAGAGGAGGCCTTTGCCCAGCAGTGGGACGTATATAGGCTGTAATTTTAACTAAAACTAAACATTTTATATATGATGAATGGTATAAGAGACGAGAATTGGTATATTCTGAATGATGAAGTTTTGAGTTTAAAGAGATGGAAGGAATATTTTGAAAGCGTGTTTATGAGTGAGGAGACAACGTGTGTACTAAGTGAAGTAAAAACTCCGAGAGAAGAGGAAAGAGGTAGCGAGATAAGTATAGATGAAATAATGAAAGCAATGAAAAGCATGAAAGTAGGTAAGGCTGTCGGATATGATAGAGTTTCACTCGAAATGCTAAGGGCTGGAGAGGAAGTCGTGGCAGGCCTGCTGCATACCTTGTTTAATTTATGCTGGGAACTAAAGCGGGTGCCGGTAGACTGGTGCAAAGCCGTGATAGTCCCAGTATATAAGGAAAAAAGGTCGCAGCAGGACTGTAAAAACTACCGTGGCATCAGCCTTCTTACCATTATGGGAAAACTGTATGCTAAAGTACTAATTGAAAGGGTCATGAAAGAAACTGATGGAAAAATTTGGGATGTGCAAGCGGGATTTAGCAAGGGAATGGGATGTACAGATCAAGTCTTTTCCATGCGCATGATCGCGGAGAAGATTTTGGCCAAAAACAAAAAGGTTTTTTGTGCGTTAATGGAACTTGGAAAAGGCCTATGACAGAGTTGATAGGGATGTGCTATGGCAAACACTGAAATCATTTGGGTTGAGCGCAGGCTTGATACAGGCATTGGCGTCTCTTTATAGGGACTCTAGTGCTTGTGTTAGGATCAAAGGGGTCTACTCGGACTGGTTTGACATCCATAAAGGTGTCAGACAGGGCTGTGTGGTTTCCCCGTGGCTGTTCAATCTATTTATGGACAGTTGTTTGCAAAATTTGTAAGTTGAAGAATGCGGATTAAGAATGGGTGAGTTAACCGTCAAATGCCTTTTGTACGCCGATGATCAAGTTATCTTTGCGTCGTCGGCGACCGAGTTGCAAATGATGGTTACATTAATGAACAGATCATTAAAAGAAAGGGGTATGAAAGTGAACGCAAGTAAGACGAAGGTTATGGTTTTTGAAAGAGAAGAAAGTAAAACGATTTGTGAAATAAGAATAGAAGGGGAGTTGATCGAGCAAGTAGACGAGTTTGTATATTTGGGCTGCGTATTTAGCAGGGATGGGAGATATGATAAGGATATAGAACGACGAGTGAATGCGGGAAATAAAGTAAATGGGGCCCTACACTCTATTGTGAAAAGTCAGAATGTGTCAAAAAAGGCACGTATGGCAATTCACAGTGCTGTATTAGTCCCTACTTTAACGTATGGTAGTGAAAGTTGAGTGTGGCAGAAGAAGCACGAGAGTAGAATGAACGCAGTAGAAATGCGGTCGTTAAGGAGTATGTTAGGGCTGAATCTGAATGACAGGGTAAGAAATTGTGTAATAAGAGAAGAGTGTGGTTTGCAAGATGATGTTGTGATCAGGATTAAGAAAGGAATGCTTCGGTGGTTTGGTCATGTGGAAAGAATGAATGAGGAAAGACTGACAAAGAAAATTTAAGTTACAGAAGTGAATGGCAGAGTCGGAAAGGGACGTCCTAGGCAAAAATTTATCGACCAAATTGGCGATTTATTAAAAACGGGCCAAATTAGGAGTACCCTTAACCGACGAGCATGTATGCGTATGTGTATGGATGTGAAGGAGGCGAGAGAGATGTGTCAGGATCGTGCCAAATGGAAGTCTGTAGTCTCTGCCTACCCCTCTGGGTGACGGGCGTGAGTGTTTATGTAAACATTTTAAAACTGGTATTAGATTAAGTATATTTGCGTTACTAACACAGCTATACTGCAACTAAAATATGGTTGTAGTACCAATGGGGCGGTGAAATGGCGGCAAAATGGGGCTATGTTTCGTATTGTGAGTATAGAGAACCGAAAATCCCATTTTTTTTAAAAACAAGGCATTTAATTTTATTCTTCAAAGTTGACATTTTCCATCAGGTGAAATGTGAAATATAAACTTACCACACTTTTTCTCTAAAATAATAAAATATCATCAAAAATTCATAGTGATCACCAACACAATAATCTTATTTACATCTGTGTGATATTATTTATAGAATAAAAGGTTTAAACGGTACACAGTCCACCCGATTGTAAGTAGATGCTAGGGCTCAAAAACGTAGTCACCACGATAACTATTAGGAGTTATTAGAGCTATTTTTCGGTAGGGCCATGGCGACGGCGCCATGGTTTTATTTCCGCTGAAAACGAGTATGTGTATTGTCCACAAATAATTGCCTCGGGCCTAGATGTTTTTCCTTGTGCAATTATATATTCGAAAGTTCTTCCGTGATACAGAAGAAATTTATCAAGAGAAAAGAGGAAAACAATTTTCATAATTACGAAACTAAATTTAATACGATCGTTGTTATTTTCAAGGAATGTGTTATCGTGTGTATAACGATATTGAATCGAAGTATAAACTTTGCATGAAATGCTATTTAAATGTGATGAATTGATTAGTTTAATACGAAAATGTTTTATGTTTTGTTCATAAGCCATTTCGGGATATTTTATACAAAGAAAATAATTAGAATATTTGAAAAATTTAAAGCTTATGCAAATTAAAATGTTACATTATAGATTGTAAAATCTCCATTTGTGATAAAATTTGCTAAGATTAAAATTCATAAATACTTTTAATTGTATGTATAAATATTGAAAATTTTACTTGATAAATCAGACGGAACAGATTTAATCTTTTTTTACGTGGAAGAGCCACGCTGCTGCTATATTATGGTTGTAGCATGAATGGGTCGGTTCGACCGGGGAAGTACTGCGCTCTCACAGAATACCAGAGTAAAATAGCAGCTTAATGCTGCTGTATTTCGTATGGTATGTGTAGAGAACCGAAGACCTTTTTTACTGGAAGTGAGGCATTCCATCTTAGTCCTCAGGGGTGATAACGCATCTGCATTTTGATACTTATTCGAGGATAAATGTAGATGTCTATGGGCCACAGCATCCACTTACCATCAGGTGGACTGTATGCTCATTTGTCAACCTAATTCTGTAGAAAAAACCCATTAAAATTCTTTTTAACAATTAACCTTCTGATGTATTTTCGATATTTACGACATGTAGGTACCACTGGTTTATAGCGAACAACGCATCTGTGTGGTTCGTTATAAACCAGTCACATCACACAGTCCACCTATTCGTTCAACCCAGAATAACCTTCGTTATTCGCGCACCCATAATTTTGAAGTCCCGGAATCGAACCAGCGACCACGTGGCTCAACCCTATTGCTCAACCATATTGTCCCTCTCAATCATTTTTGTCACAAACATATAAAATGTACAGATATCTGCAATTTACAATTTTATCATAATATTTATAGATAATTTATGATGAATTAAAAAATATTTTAAAATAATTTCTTATGATTATACGAGCTTTTTAATATTAAGGTTTTAATTTTTTTATATACCTAATACTGCCTGCCCGAAAACTATGAGCTAGCATTTTTCTTCATCGACTTCACTGTCATATTTGATATGACATTCGATGATAAAATAAAGAACTCATTCTCATTTGACTTATAAGTGATGTGTATTAAGTGACTATACTTTTAATAGACTTTTTACACTATTTTACAGATCTAAAATAATTAAAAGGAATTTATTCAACATGGGAAGTTTTTCAGCATTAATGTGGAAGCACTTTATACAACGGAAGCGCCGCCCTTTTTTAACTTGTATCGATATATTGGCTCCTTTCGTGTTGTTATTAGCCATAAATAATATTTACACAGCAAAAGCAGGGCAGGTAAAAATAACTTATCTTTTATTTTGTAAGCGATATCCATGTTGTACGTAATATTTATTATTTATATCGAAATTTCGCCTACCAATTTTCACAGAACACAGAAAAACTGTATTAAAGTATTGATGTCTATGAGCCACAGCATCCACGGACCACCAGGTGGACTGTGTGCTCGTTTGTTTCCCTTATTCTTTATAAAAAAAGTCTCCGTTATATAAAAAGGCTCGAATGGTACAGGAATTCTCCCTGCACCATTCGAAACGAAGCACAATTTCACTGCTATTTTAACGATTTCTTTATGAGAGTGTTTCTATCTGCTGGTCTGTTTGTACTGCAGTAAAATACCGCTGAAGCGTTAGTATATAATTGAAACGAAATGCCTGATGATGTTTAGCTTATCCTTTAGTAGGTTCCAGGGGAATCAAGATTTCATTTATTTATATAATCTTAAATGAGGGTGCAAATTATGTTAAGATAGTTTTGCAGGGAGTACTTCATTCACTAATCTATCCTTTTATAGACGAGTTGTTTTTATAAGGGCGATTTCACACTTTTGTGTTCTGTTTTCAAAATTGGATTCAGAAGGAAGGCTCAAAGATTTATCATTTGGTTTTTTTACTAAGACTTGAATCAGAAGTTCCACGGCCTGTACTTAATTGTTGAATTTTGTTATAATGAAATATATTGAGTTTTCTGTGTATGTTTCGTGACAGAAAACAGATAAGAAACCACGATTTTACGCTCGTGCTTCTG